AGAAAAAAAAAAACAGCTACCAAGCCCTCTCCAGAAACAAAAGATTTTTTAAATTGTGAGTTTTAACTAGATAGAAATAGAAATTTTCGAGCGGACAAAGGGAATATATGTTCCTAATAATGTTTTTAATTTTTATGAGAGACGGAGAGTTTCCAAGAAGTCAAAAGCAAGCAAATGATTAAAGTTATCTAAGGTTTATGACTGAACCGATCAGCTAATGTCTTCTTAATGAAGGCGCTCCTCGTAGATTCAAATCAGCAAACTTCTTAACGATTCCCTTCACTAAATTCAATTATTGCCCTGACATTTTCAGACCTGAAACAAATCATCTTGATAATGGAATTTGCTTGTGTTTTCATGGAAGAAAAAACACTGCGATCCACCCTCTTGGCACATTCAAATATCGTATTTCTCGGGTGACATTATCCAAAAGAATCGACGACACTGTCGTGTCAACAAAGTGTGTAAATTACTATCAGGACACGAAAGATATTTTTCTCTTTTCTTTTTCTAAGGTAACATAAATGCTGAAGCATACAATAGAAAAATAATTGCTTTTTTCTTTGAGATCAGCAAGCTCGCGCCTTGTCTTCATTTAGAATCAACATGTCCACACATCTCGTATTTTTTAACATTCATGTTAAGCAATTTATTTCTTGTCAGGATCACCCTAAATTTTTTTGTAGTGATCTTTAACTGTCAAATTAAACGCCTGTAACAATCTCGTTTCAACTGACAGACTTGCTGAGGTCTTCAGTATTTTGGATAAACAGACCCGCCCACTTTGCCAGGTAAGACCCTCTATAAGACGACCCTAAATTTAGGATCAGCTCTTAGCCTTTAGCCATGGTTTTCACATGTAAGAAACTTTTTCAATATATAATAGAAAAAAATATGGTAAAATCTTCCCATATCCCCAGGTAATTTAATTGAAAATTCATTTCATGGGTCTATACTATTTTGATATTTTACTTCCCTGTCAAATACAAATTAAAAAAAAAAACCTTATGCTTCGGAGCATATAAACCAATCAGTAACCCGAGATTCCAAACTCTCATATATCAACTTCGATATATATTACATTTTACAAGTGTTATTCTGCCTGGAATTGCACTTACGTATGTACAATTATCAATGATGGTGTTTTTTTTTTCTTCTAATATTTGTACTTAATGGTCTTTGCAAGGTTTCTGCGATTGCGATTTAATGGTAGATGCCACTGTTTCAATTTGATAAGATTTTCACAATGAACGGATTTTTTCTTATTTTTTAACAAAGGTCCTTTTCGTCGTGTAATGTTAAATGAGATATTTCGCACAAAGATTTATGTGCAAAATTTCAAAGAATATGAGAAAATTTGTGAGAAAATGAGTGAAGAATGAAGGAATGGAGAAAATGAAATTAAGCTGGGGTAGGAAAATAATAGGTCGACAATTACCTGTAGTGACATTTTTGCTTTAAAAAGCCGTACTTTCATCGATAATATCACAAATACTCGTTACATCTTTATCAAACAATGGAATAAGTACCCCCCCCCCAAAAAAAAAAAAAAAAAATGTGCATTTTCACATTTAATTAAAAATACAAGGCATGCAGACAACCATTCATTTGGCATAAAATAGCTGATATAAATGCTTTATGAAAAGAAATAAAAAGCTGTTTGTAATTATTTTAAGAGTGTTGGTACGTAAGTTATCAAAAAGTCAAACTCCGGATATGGTGCTAAAACACTCACTAATACTATTGTTTCGCGCCAGAAGAACATGAAGCTCGCTTCAAAGAAGTAAAAAAAGGTAAGTCACAAACACCGATTTCACTTTGTGTTTTTCAGGCGTTTTTCTTTTCTTAACTTATTGAACAAATTATATTTCTGTTGCGTGTATTCAATTTCTTCGCAATCCCGGAGACAACCTAAAAACTGTCTCCCGATGACCGTGTTCTGTGGTCTTCTAGGGGTCAAAACAGCAGTAGCTAAATTGTTTTCCTAAACAAAATCAGCAAAAACCGGTGTCAAACAGTACTTTGGGCACCCAACCTCCGTGCCTTGATGGCTTAACCTAGTTCTGCATTTGAGCAAACAAGTTTCAGTTCTTCCCCTTCTAAATGGCTGCTCACAGAGCGCTTCTTCTTCCTATGCAGCGAAGCAAAGGTAAATCGCACGCCGTGGAACTCGGTTGTACTTTAAAATTCGATCTGAGGAGCAACCGCTCTGATTGGTCCAGCCAAACATCAAGCCAGCTGTTTGACCTTCATGCCCTTGCGCGCGTTTTTTCTTCAATTAATTTCATCAATGGAAAGGCAGCGCTGTGAGAGATTTGGGAACGATGCACCGCACTTGCGTCAGACAGGTTGTGCCCTTGCTCTAGCCTGCATGCCAGGGTCTCCGATCGCCTGAGCTTGCTATAATCGGGAGTTGAACTGAGAAAAGTGCGCTGGTGAGAAGGATTACTTACAAGCAGTTCCAAGCTTAGCTACCAGCAGTTTCAAGCTAGGCTCGCTCATTGCGGCTCCTAGTATAGCTTCATACATGTACATGTATTGTTCCAAATTTCAGCAATATTAATGGGCCCAGTATTGAAACTAGCTAAAACAATTTATTTATTCTTTAAAATTGCTTATAAAAATAAGCGGTCATTCCTCTCTCGCATTCTAACTCTCTCTCTCGCTCTCTCATTACTTTCTTTCTTTCTTGTCTTCGCCTCTCCTCCATATTGCTATGACTTTGTGTTTTTCTTGTTTTCTCTTTACCTATCATTGACATCGGCCTCGTTGCGTGATAATTATATGAAGCTCTTGATTTTATCAGTTTATTGATTTTTATTAATTCATTCCTGTGGTATTTCTCTTCAGCCTCCCCCCCCCCTGGCAAATTCTCTAACTGTATCAAAGTTCCCCGTGTTTTCCGAGTTGATCCTCAACATGCACGGCATATCAAACCGACGTTTGACATAAGTCATATTTGTACCACTTCGCGATTGTTTAAACTCTAAGTAAACTTTGCCACTAGTTGATATAGATCAGACCATCTTCTGTTTGGACTGCTGGATAGAAATAAAAGGATCGTTGGCGTTGTTTTTGATGTCTTGTTGAATCGTTGCTTTGTATAATAAGGCCTCGTACACGTCTGGGAGTAAACAAGAAGAAACATGCACGCTTCTTGCCATTGCAGCTAAGCCGCCAAACAGAGCAAACAGAGCTTCTTGGTGTGGAAACAGCAATACAAGTAGCATCTATCATAATATTTCAAGTAAATGCAGATTTCAGAGAGTTTATTTATCCTTTGAAAATAAATGGGCTTTTCAACTGTGGATTTTTTCCTTGGCTTGATCATAACATTGCCAACTGGCACACGCTTCTTAGATAATTCTAATAGGCTCTTATATTGACGGAGCCTTATAAAGTGAAAGATGTTTCAAACAAAGAGATTACTGCCAGGATGTGAAGAAACCCTTTGTGGAAGTCAGGTTAGTTGCTTATTCTTTCTATAGACGCTTTAAAGTCTCTCTTCTTTTCTTTCGCTTCGTGTTGATGATTTATCTCGTGAATTTGGGTTAAATTGTGAGGAAGATCTGGAAGTTGAGATTTTTAAAAATATATTGAAAATTGTGGTTATGGCTGAATTTTACTACTCTCTTTCTCTCTCTCTCTCTCTCTCTCTCTCTCTCACTCACACACACACACACACACACACACACACACTTATCAACAGCAGTCATGAAGCACGTACTTCACGCTGACTCTTTTTTGCTGTGGCATTTTTTCACAACATCTCACCATCATCAAGAAACATTCACAACAACACCTGGTGTTTCTGTAAAATCAATTCAAAATCGACAAAAAGCTAAAAAAAAAAGATACCGGAGAACATTTAAACAGAACACAGAAACTGGCGGTGGTTCGGGGAAGGTGATCTTTTGGCCACATTGGCTGTTAAAAGAAACTTGATTGTGCTTTAATTGACATATCAGGTTTTAAGTGCAATACAGTTGTTTAACTCTGGAGGTCTCATTTGTCGTACAATATTTATTTCAGCGTTTCATTAGGCGTTTGGCAGGGCGTTATCAAATCACCCGTGACGAACTCTTCTTTCAGTGGAGGTAGCACTGTGTGTGTTCGGTCATTTCCGTCGACGACCGGAAAAACGATCATTCTCTTCGAATTTCTTGCAATAATTTCCTTTCCATTCCACGTTATTTACACAAGCTGAAACTCTTAGAAATGTTAATACGTTGTTGGTTTTTTCTCCTGCAGTCAAACATGATGAAAACATCTCATTTTGTGTCGAAAAATACCAACTGTTTTTTAAGCGTTTCCAACTGTGAGCGAAAATGCCTCCCTGAACAGGGTATCAAACTTTATGCAGACTTTTTTAACGAACTTTTATGAAACACCAAGCATTGCTTAAATATTTTTTAAAATTTGTAAGCATTTCTTAGATCTCTATTCCACTTAAAACTTCCCTTGAATTAAATTTTCTAGTTTTCATTTTAGCTCTACTCTTATTTAGTTATCCATTGCGAGCTGCTCTAGTTATTTTGACAGTTCTGTCTTAAAATGCACTATGGTTTAACAACTTCTTAAGATAGTAAAAAATCAGCACGTGTCTGTTATGCATATTCTTATCATTTCTCTCCCTTGCCTATATGTACAACAAACTTCATCCCCCAACACTGTATACTTGCAACAACTTGTACATGTAACTGCTAAAACACCTGCTTTGCAACAGTCAACACAAATAAACAGAGGGGTAGATTGCAGTTCATTAAAAATATCATCGACGCCTCATACTAATTATCCAACTGTATGCTATTACCTATACATATGCATGGTAATTGTTTTCTAATTAAATTGCCGACACAGTTTTCATTTGATAGTCAAATAGTATTTTCTAGAGGGCAAATATAAAGTGAAAGTCTTAGCCTACTTACGACCTACAGCGACCCACAGCGGCAGATGACGCCGAGCTACGGCGTTTAAAATTATCCGGACGTTATGCTTACCAATATGACATATACAGTCCTCCTCTGAAAGTACAAGACAATTTCAAATTAAACCCGAGAAAGGGATTTTTAACGTGCAGTAATTACGATACTATTCCAATTTCATACTAAAGTGGAAAAGTATAAACAATGCTATAAACAAAACGGATCAAAACGAAAATTTGTTTTTAGAAACAATGGAATTAGAAACAACATAATAATCGAATTTATCAAATGCTTTATGTTATTAAGTTAATTCATTTTTTTCACCTTTGAAAATGTGGAATCACTACATTCTTTTCACATTTGATCTTTTGCGTATTGAAAACAGCACCTAGGGCATGTAACGCCCTCTCCTCCAATCAGTTATTGTTTTGAAATTTGCTACTTTTCATCATATGTATCTATGGTAACACGGTCACCATGGGAACGGGGATCTAATGTCAAAAGGTCCGTGATCACGTGGGGAGTCCTCTCCCTGAGGCGGGAAACATCGGAATATTTTGTCAACATTGTTCTCAAACAGATTTCGAATGAAATTCCGCTTCGCTTGTCCCTCACACCTAGCCCAGACATTTTTATTTACGTGAATGTGACAAGTGCTCATTTGCCTTCCAGTTATGTTGTTTGACACGCTTATTAATCGTGTCTGTATAAAGATGGATTTTATGTACATGCCTTATTCTGATACTCTGATAAAGTCTTGTCTTTACCGAAAATGTAAATATGCTTAGATATATCGAGGATAAACACAAAGGGATTTCTTACTCTGTTGTATTTTTTGAGCTGAGGATTCAACAGACGCCAATGATTGCAGCAGTAAAAACCTGGATAGCGTCTTGTACGACTCACAGAAGTCTGAGAAACAACCGCCACTGGCAGTTAACAAGAGAAAATAGTATTACTTAATGTGGATCAGCTCAGGGACTGTTTTACTCCCTTACCTGTGTTTATTACTTCTACAATGCGCATTTTTGTCCTTGGAAAAATAATTTTTTTCTGCTCCATTTGACACTCTCACGTTCTGTATCCAAAGAAGTTGGTTTTTCCATTTCGAAGCGCTGAAGCATGGTTTATCCTCTGCGAGCAGTCATCCCTGCAGAAAGCCAAACAGTCAATTTGTTTACCCGGCCCATCCTTTTCTCTGATTCATTGCCAAAGTCGCTCATTAATTACAGATTTTCCAAATAAAGTTACGTCAGTCCTTTTAGTTGTATTCCAACTAGAGAAAAGTGCACTCACTGAGCGGCCATATTAGAGACCAACTCCTGCGTGGAAAAATTTCATCAACTCAATCTCCCTTTATTCTACTGGCAACATTTTCTCAAAAATTCATCGCCGACCACAAAAGCCAGCGGCGCAGGTTTTCATTAAATCACTCGATGAGGGAGATAAACTGTCGTTTTATATTACGCTTCTTTTATTAGGCAATTTCTCTGCGTTCCTCCTTTTTTGTGTTCGGACCGTACTCTCCTTCAGCTGGCTAGACACTTGTTGCTTATCTGAACACCTTATGACACTTTCAATTGAAGTTGAACTTCCGCAAACAATGAGTTTTTTATATCAAGAAAAATAACCGCAATTTTCTTCAATACACGTTGCCTGTTTTATACAGGAACTCTCCAATATAGGTGAGTGGAGAGGCACTTTATCACAAAAGTTCGTCTTCCCAACATGCAAACACACCAACATCACTTATATTGATTGGTCTGATGTTATAACTTTTAACTAGGAAAACAAATTAATCCGATCTCCTTTCCCGAATAAATAAAAAAGAATTGCTGTAAAGACAGAGAGCTTTCCAGTGCAGTTTGTATCAAAATGTCAAATACGAATGTTGCTTCGTCGTCTTTTTCTAACTCTTCAATATTGTCTGCTTTTATGTCTTTTTTTGGCAAAATCCCGTGATCGGAACAAGTAGTATCCGAGGCAAACATTATATCCATATGTATCATATTTTCAAAAATACATTTTATGGAGATTTTTTTTGCAAAAGTCTTCAATGATCCCCATCATCTTCAATGACTTGGCGTATAGTCTCATCGCAATATGACGTGGCATTCTAAGCTTTCCATTCGTAGAATACATCTGCATAATTATAGCTTTAAATGAACAGAATGTTGCGCAATATTACATAAATAAATCAGAACTATCTCTGCTAAATAAACAACATGAGTTTTTCACCATCTGCAGGCAGTGAGTGATTTAAAGAAATGAGTCGCATAAACGACAATTAATGGAAATGCATATACACAGGATAACACATATACGATATATTTGTTTTACTTTTCTATTTTGGTGAAAAACATGGATTACGGAGGAAAAAAGAAAATCTGAAGATTTTGAGTAATGTCAACATCTTTGATGACTGCCACCAGTTTCAGTTTACCATGACAGTTAGTGGATTTATTATACTATTTATTTCTTCATCTTTTTTTCTTTTTTGAAAAGATCAAACGGAAAAGTGCGGTTAGTAGAAATGTTTGTTATTGTAGATTGTAAAGAAAGGGCCGCACTTTTAAATTAATATTGAATTACTGTTCTCTTCATAAAAATACTCGGTTTATATTTGCATTAATTTTCTTTCTAAATTTATTTTGAAGATTTATCAACATATGTTTTGTGCCCGTTTATATCCTTATTTCACACGAATAAAGTGATTGCTTGCTTTTGTAGAAACAATGCAAAAAGCGGCTTCTCGAAAAAAGAAACTGTACCTTTTGAATAAAAAAATACGAGTGAAACATCGTTCAGAGAGTAACACCAATATATAAGAAGTGTAAAATCAGAGACAAAAAGCGTGGAAAAAAGGCCTGATAAGATGCACAGTAATACACACAGTCGGGGAGTGTTTTCTTAAAAGAACCAACGAAGATAGGAACTAGAAAGAGAACTGGAAAAAAGTGTTCAAACATCGCTGAAAGTTAAGAGCCTGTGCCGTTGTGAAAACCGTTATTCGTGCTGGCGTCACAGAAGCATGGAGTCTGTGTTGATACAAGTGGATTCCACCATGTCTATGAAAAAAGAGACATGTACTGGGTTGTTTTACAGGCCCGGACATTGTCAGGACATCACATAGCCCCCAGTCGAGGTGTTCTGGGTGCTTTTTGTACTGTTTTCTTAGTTATCTGGACATTTCCTATACTGGTGTACTTTTTTTTACGCCGAGGAACTTTTGTGTTTTTCCGTTTTTCTTTGGTGTAAAGTTGTTCGTAGCGCTGTAGTTGCGCTGCCTTTTTAGTGTTCGAGCCACGGGAAGAATATGTATTGTATAACATCAGATACGTAAAAATTAGATATATTTGTAACGTCTTAAATAATCCTAAAAAAGCATTAGATATGAAAGCCAAGAAGAGATGTTTTCTGTATATGTATCGTTTTTTTCGGATTTTTTAAGAGGACTTTTGCTGCTTTTCTAAATTTTGTTATGTAAGTGAGTTAAGTTTGTTAAACAAGTGAAAATATATTGACGATGTACATTTCCTGTATGAAAAGGTTAAAATCCTTCTATCATCCTTTTTAGAACTTTACTTTCGATTTATAGCATATCAAAATGCTACAAGTTGAATCAACACTTCTCTCTCTCTCTTTCTCTCTCTCTCTCTCTCTCTCACACACACACACACACACGCACACACACACACACACACACACGCCCGTGCAACTGGTCTTTCTTTTCTTTTCTGTAAAACTAAATTAAGATAGGGGATAAAGAAAAATTGCTCCTTTTCTTTGCCATCGCCAAGCATGCAGAATCATTTATAGATCTATAAAAATCAGTCATTTCAGAAATAAAACAACAGACCGGACGGCACAGCATACTATACAAGACCGAACCAATGTTCAGCGCCTCCCTTTCTATGTTTTTACGGCAGAAAACAGTTTGATTAGCTTTTTCTTTTTGCCCAACATTAATCTCGCTGCATTGGTATGGAAACTGTTCGTGGCAGCCTGTCATGTTCTTCCTGTCATAAAAAGTTTGATAAAACTTTCTTTCCTCTTGGTGACATCTCTGAAAAGTGTCCAGAGTTAAATGCTGGGTATGAATAATAAATAAAATTTAAGATATAGATTTCGAGATGGTAGCGCCACAGCTTTTAAGGCGAATGTTGATCAACAGACGAATTGATTACAAAACTGAGTTTCTTTAAACTTGTTCAACTTTGTCGGAAATCTCTTTAAGCTAACCTCAAATCGCTCATATAAGAATAATTCGTAGAGTTTGGCATTTACTGCACTCTTTTTTTCCAAAGCTAACTTCCGCTGTTTGCCAACAATTTCTAATTCTCTTACAAACACTAAGGAATTACCCCTCTTTTTGGAATATTTTGGTAAATTTGTTACAGTACATGTATCTGATGAATATATCTGATCTAACAAACTGCTTTTGTTAAGAAAAATGTAAAATTTAATGTAAAAGATTCGTGCACTTCATAAATCCACTTTTTGTAACGGTGAACCTCCAAGTAATAATAAAAATGTGATTTCGTTTCCAACAACATGTGAACTTGCCAGATAAATATCCACTTATCTATAGCTGAACAAATATGATGTAGTTTTTGATTGTTTATCGATTTAACTTTTTTGTAAATGGGTTTATTTCATCAGACTAGTGTCATATTTATATTAATTGCTAGAAGTGCCGCTTTCGTAGTTTGTAAATCTAAAATCAGATATTGTGGAAAGAGTCACCAGCTCTAATCATACATTCAATCATATGAAAAGTTTTTTTACCATCTGTAACCTCGGAGGAATTTACTGAATGTATTAGATAAACAATTTATCTTAAAAAACTTTCGAGATGGAAGGCGTCCTAAGCGCGACAAGCTTTTGCCGCCCTCTTCAATGTTTGTGTAGTTTTATAGCTCCTGAAAATGTGCGCGGTGCCAATATTACATGAGAGCGTCAACCGCAACATGGAATAAGGCCGCGTATATTGATAAAACTTCCATTTTGAATATGTAACTACGTGATCTACACCACATTTCGTTCGGCCCTTTTCTTGTTCGCAGCGCGGAGCAGCAGTTATTGCTGTTTCAACTCTTGTTCCGCACTAGAAATAAATTTTTAAAAATCAGACTTTGGACAAAAATTGCGAAGTTGAAGGCTGACCCTTCTCACCCTCTGCCGTGGCGTCGCCCCACCGTCTAACTGCCCGACTCTTCGTTTCCAAGTGCCTTAACCATAAAAATGAAATTCAGTATCTGGATGATTCATAAACGCGTAACATTACAAGTGGCTCTTACCGCTCATTGGTTGTTTTCCCCACTGTCGTTTAACTCAAAACCATATTTATGTTTTATAATGATTTCGCAACAAAGCATTTTTTTCACTTGCACATATTTCTCAAACTTTGTTTGATATCACTCTTTTGGTGTTGAAAGGCGTTCTATTTATATGTAAGCAATTGATTAGTTCAATGATTCATCTTAGAAAAAAAGTGTGCGAAATTCTACTTTATTTGATGACTTATAGGTCTGCTCCCAACCGCTCTAAATGTATCTGCGGTTTACGGAATCACTTTCATCTTTGAGTACAGAAAGGTTATAAATGAAACGGAGCGGTTTTAAAAATCAATATGCACAGTTTCAAAAACCAACCTGTATTTTTCAGCACGTGTTTTTTTTCTCCTTTTTTCAATTTTACACGATAACATCTATGTCTTGGAATTTGAGGCGAGCTATCGGTCGATGTTTTATGAGGGACGGAATAAGCGAGGTTATTATATATTGACATGGTAACGCTGTTTCATATTCATATTTTCATCGTTTTTCCGAATTTTTGTTGTTACCTACCTTAGCTGCCCGTTAATGAGGTGTGGTGTCACATGTTTTTGCTGGACAATCTTTATTTGTGTTCTTTTAAATGTATGCATAGCATTCGGCAACTTAGTCAAATTAAAACTCAGCCAGTTAAAAGTAAAATTGTTGCGGTTAATTAGTCCGAGTTTGACTGCAAACAAGTATTCATTTAGAAATTAATTACATGAACGGAATTAGAGATTTTAAAAAATACAATGACATTTCCTATAAAAATAAAAAGTTAGATTTTTGATTCTAACTGTCCGTCATGACAACAGTAGGAATCCATGTTTGTTATTAACTGACTCTCTTTTACCAAGTTAGTCTCAGTGACAAATGGCTACGGTTACACGTAAGAATGCCACACACTTAGAGGCACTACTCTTAATGTGCTCTCGTATTCACGCTGGAAAACAGTTTTCATAGTTCCAAAAGGGAAAATGCTTACTAAACGCCATTAATCTAATATCTACGAGAACCCCCACGTTCACAGCATATGGTGCAGTTCATCAACCTCTTGACGTTCCTGAATATTAAAACCAAGAAAACAATGGGATATTTTAACGA